TTAACTAAGGAAGTAAATAATTGTTCTTTTATTAGTAGAGAATTGTTTTCTTCAAATTAAAAATAAAACAACATTTAAGCAGAATTATTTCTAGTTTTTTTCCCACCGGTGGAAACGTGTACGTTGCTAATAGATTCTAGAGAGAAGATCTAGATTTCAAATCTTAAATAAAATTTTTTAGTTTTTGCTTTCTTGTTCCTGATTTTTGTTGCACACAATGTTGTTCATAAGACAAATAAATATTTTATGATGTAGAATAAAAATTCTTGTCTGTTAACCAACTGTTCATTTCTAAAATAGGTGTCTTACTTTGAAATTGTTGACAAGGAGCATTGGAATCTTGCCACAAGAAACTATTTCATATTTTGTGGAAAGCGATCTGCATACCAAATATTTTCGAACGGGGTTAATGGAATATCAATAACCAATAAAGAAAATGGAGGATCCACAAATTTAATATCACTTAAGTAAAATTAATTGATACTTCTGTTTTTCATTCTGAATTTCCAATTCAAACATAAATTATGTTTTATGTAAGGTGTAAAATTTGAAGTCTACATAATTTCATTTGTTTTATGATTGTATAAGTTCTCTTTTGTTTTACTGCAAAAATGTCAGCTTTGCTACTTTTGGAGGCCATGTTTCGTTGCCGATTTGAATGTGATTTGAATTTTCTGTACAACAAAATTCGTGTACGATTTAAAAAACAATGAAATAACTCAGACCCCAATTGTTTGTGATGAAGGGTGTTGGTTGTTTAAAACTGTGTCAGTGATAAATCCACTAAAATTACAGATTTAAAGAGTATGACTTTTAGGATTTTCTGATATGAACACAATTGAATATAGTGTATATAGAATATGCTATTGAATCAACAAAATTTCTGCTAAAATAATTTCAAAGCATGTTTATATCATAATCATATTATAAGTTCTATAGTTGATGCTTTTTTACTAATAAATCGTAGTCAATCTTAGCGTTAATCTTGTTGATTCAATCGCACCGTTCTCACAGTGTTGACTAATTTTTAGTAATCTGAATCAATGAATGTTCTACCAGTGACTAATAATTACACACATAGTTTGAAATATAAATTTTCAACTGCTTGAACGGCAGTTTGCGTAACTTGATTTGATTTTAGAATAGAAGACCTTTAAACCTTTGGAAAAATGTTTACAGCTGAATGTTGTTTTTGTGTAAAGGGTAAAAGGGGAAATCCACAACTGGAGCGCATTAACACATGTCATTTTTCAAAGCGGGTCTGAGGGTGTGAATTCGCTACAAACATATCAAAAACTGACAATGTACTTTAGACTTTATTCATACTATACTGTAAAAAATATTATAGCTAAACTTTTACTTCTACGAGACATTAAATTTTTCGAAGTAAAATTAAGAAAATTATCAAGTCCAATTAGCTATGTCCACTTTTGCTTCTACTAAATTATTGCACTGAAACAAATTTTTAAAAAAGTGTCACTAAAATTCAGGATAATAACCCTCATTGATTCAGATTTAGATTCTCTTATAAGGTGTAACAATGTAATGGCATAGATGTAAGTTAAAATATATATTTACATGTATAAGTTACTATAAAACACAAAATCCATGTCTTCCATTTCATGAAAAGAAATTTAAAATAAGTATATAACTATATACGTTTATATAGTATATCACTGCTTTGTAAATATTTAGACTTTAAAATAGGGAAAAGTGGGGCTAAACCAAGAATTTCAAAATGATAATATTGCTCAAAAATAAAGTATACTTTAATATACTTTTTTATGTTGGATTGTAGCTTTTCATTCACGGAAAAAAATCTTTGCCTAGAATTTTAATTATCTTCGTTTCAGCGAAAGCTTTTTTCCGTGCAAGTAAGGCAACTTTCAGAACTTATCGAACAAATTAACTTTCAATAGGAATAATTGTTAGATTGTTTACAATAATCCAGAAATATTACATTTTATGCAATGGAGAAAAAATTGATTTGATTCAAATAACCGATTACTCGTCTATTAAGTATACTTACTTGAACCAAATAATTTTTAATTAAGGCAATTAAATTGTATCTGCTTCAAATAGAGAAATTGAGCCGCAGCGTGCAATAACAACAGCTACGCTCGGGCTGTCTTTCCAAATCGGAATATCTACTTCGAAATCCGCGGTGGGGACTGCATTCGAAGTAGATATTACGGTTAAGGAAGACAGTCCGAGCGTAGCTGTTATTATTGCACGCTGCGGCTTAATTATTATTGGTTCATATACAATTTATTTCATTTGAAAAAAAGTTATTTGATTGAAGTAAATATTTTTTTGATAATAGACAATAATTAATTATTTGAATCAAATACCTTTTTTTTCTTTGTGTTAAAACTTGAAGGTGATATTCACAACCTATAACAACAAAATATGAACTTAATGTTTTGATCCACTTTCCCTCATATTTGATAAAAATCATAAAGTAAGAATATAACTTAATTAAAATAAAATTTTCAATCTCTTACTGAGAAGAAATTTAGCACTCCTATTCAAGTCGATTTAGAAAAAAAATTAATAATTATAAGTGTATAAATCTGAATTCCCATATTTTAAACTCATCTTTTTAGGCTTTTACAATTGCTTTTATCAAAAACAGAAAATAAATAAAACTTACTTAAAAATTATGTGAAATTTTATAATTCTCGTATTCAGATTTAGAAAAATATTTCACTCGTACCAACTAATACCTACTATTAGTATCATTAAAAAGTTATGTAATTAGATTCTAATCAAATCGCATAGGATTTAAAATTATATAGACATACAAATATTATAGAGTATAAGCGTTTATTCATTCATCTGTAATAAAGTACATATTTTTATTGTTATTTATAATTATTATATTGTATAATATGTGCTACACTTAAAGTTGTGACGCGACAATAATAAATAGTTCGTAGGCCAATCGTGCAAAATATAATATACACACGTATATTGTACATAGTTTTAAGATATGTTTAAGTCTATATTTATGTCGAATAGTTTGTTACACTAAAAAATAAAATTTAATTTCTGTAATATATTTATTACGTCTAGAATTAATTATTTTGAATTACTAATAAAGCAATTGTAATAAAAAATATAAAATTAAAATATCTTTTAACAAATTTATAGTTTTTTCAGTAGCCTTGTGAATATCTTGAACATATTCAGATTCCTTTATTCTCCTTCTCTTTTGTTGATTTAGATTTAGAGGATATTCTACCCTCTTATCCCCAAGGAGAATAGGCCAAAGGATTTTGCCTCACATCTAAAGCTTCAGATTTATAGAATAAAGCCTCATATACAGTCACATTGCTACTCTCTGTTATAAATATTTAAGTTTTTCATTCAGAAAGTCTTTTCTTAAAATATACCCGGAGAAAAAGAGTTTGCTATTTTAGCTAATTTTCAGCCATGGCAGATAATAATTAGATTTTATAGCGAAAAAATTAGCTATGAGTTGTAACAATTAGTTAAATTAGGTAGAAATAATTGCTTCCCATTGTAATGAATTTGAGTAAGATAATAGGTGGCTAAAAGTGAAATAAAAAAGTTTATATTTTTTCGTTGCTCTATTAGGGGCCAAGTTTGAAAATGATGACCAATTGTGGCCCTAAAATTAAGCTCCACTTAGATTACAATTATACTCAAAGAGGGTCAAGTCTGAGTTTTTCTACAAGACCATTTTTCTAAATCAAAATTAATCACTTTTGTCTAATGAAATTGGATCGATTCGTTCATTAAATGAATTAGAAAGCTACTTAACTAATTCTTAGTCAAAAACGATACTAATTGCTCATGGCAGTAATAATCGATATAGTTATTAAAATAGTACTATTAGTAATAGTAATAATAACAATAATAATAATAATAAAATTTTTGGTACAGAAAAATTTGCTAATAGATTAAGTAGATATCTTCATTGTCAGGTTTGAGTGGTAAACTAAATTATTATCCTTAGAAGATATTGGAGAGTGTTTCACATACTATTTCTGATCCTTTGACTTTCCCGTTTCGTCCTTATGAACAGTTACCGACTACAGTTTTCAGTTACCAACAACCAGGCGTATACCTTGTTTCTAAATGAATAAAAACTGACAAACTTGCAGCAATTTTACTGAAAATTATTGATTAAACACGAGTTCGTTTATCATTCTTAATACACATTGATACAATGAGGAGCATATCGTCAAAATAACTATTAAAATAATTGAATTTTATAGCATCACTTCACTTCTTTTATAAAAAGAGATGAAAGGACAAATGACATCTACATTTGCTTGAAATTCGTCACTATGAATTGTATAATTAAAATCCCCCACAGCATCTAAATTTGCAGCAATATTGTCAATGTTGTCAATGTTGCTGCAAGTTTAGATGCTATGGGGGATGTTTCCATTTTATTAAATTTTTTAGTCAAAAAGGTTCTTTTTTTGTAACTAAAAGGAAAAAAAATGAAAATTCAATTAACGGGAAAAGTTTAAGCTGCAGAACAAACAAATCAGATTGTTTGTTGTAATAAAACTGTTTTCTTGATTCAACAGTTGAGTTTGTTGTCACAGCAAACACCTTAAGAGTTTTTGTTTCTACAACAATCCGAAGTTGTTGAGATACAATTCTTTTATTGTTTATCTTTTTTTTTGTTGCACAAAATTACGTTTAAATTTTCTATTTTATTAGAAGAAAACGTAAATAGATATATATATATATATATATATATATATATATATATATATATATATATATATATATATATATATATATATATATATATATATATATATATATATAGGATATTATGAAGAATATGATTTTATATTGAAATAATTTCCCAAGAGTTTGCGAGACAATCACAAATATTGCAAACTAAGTTACATGTTCATTATTAGCTTCTTCTTAACACCCGAAGGAATTCATTGGCTTTATTAGATGGCTATGATTCATTTTTTAAAACAGTATAAAAAGCCTCGACCAAAGGATAGTGGAACACATTTTCTCTTTGCTTGCTGCTATACAAACATGCAATAAGGTAAAATTATTATACTTCTTCATTTTGAATATATTTTTCTTATTCTTATAGAATTTTCTAAAAATTATTTCCACCCTTTCTTTGAAATCACAGTTTTTCTAAGGATATCAAATTGAGACGAAAAACGAAATGTTTGTTCGCAACACTTTTGCTTCATTTTTTGTCTCAATTTGATATCCTTAGGAAAACTGTGATAGAGTAGCATACTTGTTGACCATTTTAGAAGATATTGTTCTGCTTTTGAGATTTATTAAGTGAAATATTGATTAGTAATACGTAGTAAATTTAAAGATAAGTAAAACACATATTAATACCGATTTATCATTGAACTTACAATACAATTTTATGTACGACTTTTAATTTTAAACAACAAAAATTTTATAAGCTGGTTGATTTATTTAGTTCATTTATTTATTTAGTATTTACCTTTATTTATAAATCAAGTTTGACAATATAATTATTTTTTAAATCTATTTCAAGGAAACTTTTCAATATTATGATCTTTATAAGATTAAATACACCATAATATGCATTTGACAGGAATATTTTTCTTTCAGTAATTCTACTCAGTATAAAAACAATTGAAGCAAGAAAGAAAACCAAGATTTCGTTGTTGGTTACAGAAGAAGCAACATCTTTCTTACTATTTTTCCTAAAAATCAGGTAAACTTTTATGTATATACCTTGTCTTTAAATATGTAGTAATTTATTTTAAGAAGCTTCATCAAAGGAAAAGAATATTAGCTTTGTATTAATTTGGGGTCTCAGTCGATTTTTTTATCTTATAAATAATTTTGAATTTTAAGTTTGTAAGTCTGAAGAAAACTATTAAAATCAAAAACTTATACAAAACTCGACTGATGGGAAAGCTAAAGTATTTCTTGTGGGATCCTTTTTCAATTTTATTATATTCAATGAAAGTTTTTGTATTTGCCTTTTTATGCTTCTTATTTATCACTTTCATTATGGTAATGGTTTGAAGTGCTCTGTTAACTTGAAGATAACAAATTGCAACGAATACCAAAAATGTGGATCAAATCATAAATTGATTCTAATTTTTGGTATCAATTTGATACTACCAAGAAAACTATACGTATGTTTTATAATTATTTTCATAAATAGGTCACTTGCTCCAACAATAAGAGTAAGTGAAATATTTATCTTTGCCTTACTGCTGTTAAAGAATTATTAAATAGTCCCCTACAGCATCTGAACTTACAACAAAATTGACAACATTGCCTCAATATTGTGAAAGTTGCAGCAATGTTGTCATCGTTGCTGCAAGTTTAGATATGCTGCGATCATTTTCAATCTATTACATACAATGTTTCAGCTAAATTCATCACTATTCAACATGTTTCGAGCTGCACTTTTCATATTTGTCCTTCTCGTCGTTGCCGTCTATGCAGAAGCAGGATACAGGAAACCACCATTTAATGGAAGTATTTTTGGCAAAAGATCCGTTGCCATGGCTGGTAAGTGAATGTTTAATATATATCTAAAAACTATTTGACAATTTAAATTCATTAAAATTTTTATAAATTTAAATTTAGAAAGGCCGTAAAAAGAAAATCTTAAGTCTTAATTCAGCACTGCCTAATATTAAATCCTCCAAAATGTATTGCTCAAATTCAACATTGTCTGTCTTAAAAATGTTGCATCTTAATTTTAAGATTTTTTTCAAGCCTTAAAATTTCTATAACGGTTTTATAAAACTTGAAAATTTAGAATGTCATTACAAATTATTCTTCTATTTTGTGTTAATAGGCGACTATGATGTAGCTAACAGAGCTTTAACAGCAATGTGCGAAGTAGCTAGTGAAACATGCACCACTTGGTACAATCGTCAAGACATGAACTAAACTACTTCAACTCCGAAGAATCGATGATCTGCCTATTTACAGAAATCCAGTAACTTAGCTTCAAAGATGTACAAAAATGCTAAAAAACATTATGTAACAACAATATGCTTATGTAACAACAGTAATCTTTACTACACATTACTTTAATATGCAGCAAAATTATACATGTATTTATTCAATGCATTTTCAAAGTCAAGTACATTGTATGTATATCAAGGATCAAGTAGAAATTGTAATCATATTTTATCTAAATTATTAAACTTAATTGTAGAGGATTATGTTAAAAAGTAATAATATCAACACAAAATGTCTGTTAGTATAATTTGAAAAATTAAATGCTGGAAAAGTAGTACGTATACTTTACTTTTAAGTTAAAACAATGGATTACTTTAAAACGTATTTTTAAATTGATGAATATTTATTGAAAGTAGTGTTCTTAAAATCAGATATGTAGATGAATGTGTCAAGTATGTTTGGCACGTTTCTTTTCACCTGTTGATATAAGGGCTATGACCTCTTTCCTCTTTACATTGCTATTAAAGAAATCTAAATATATTAGAAGTAAAAGTTTAGACAAAAATAAATATTACACGCACTTATGCAGTGCTATATTATGGATCAAGAATGTAATTCATCTTCTCAAAAATCTTGCTTTTATTCAAGTCTACGTAATATTAATAACCAACTATTTATTTTCTCTGTAATAAAACTTTTTTGAATTAACAACTTTTTTTGATTTGCTTCAATAAAAACATATTCTTTATCGAAAAATATGAAATTGATATAAAAAATTTGGAACCATTTATGATTTCAACATTTGATCCGCACCTTTTTTTGTATTTTTACTTTTACTATAATATTTGATACTTCCAAGTTAACAATGAAGGCAAGTGACAATAGTTTTTACACCTCCAAGTATTGGAACACATTTTGTAACAATTACAAGTGTAGCAGAATTTCGAGGCACGATCAAACTACATAATGAGATGGTACGGAGGTATAAAAGAAATTATGGGATTTAAAATTGGAACATTGCCAGGCAGAAGTCGAAAGGTGAGTTAATTAAAAAAGTACTATATATTTAAATTGTATATTGACATTGACGTCCGCACTTGGACCATTTAAAAAATTTCTTGTTTTCACTGAACATGTTTATTTCTTTTTATAAATATTGTTTTATTTTTATGCGCGTGAGATTGCACACATGACATTTAAATATTAGTCCAGAAAGATAAACACTTGTCCTTTCTGCATTATCCAATACCTTCTTAAAGGTGGTGATCACCACGCACAGTTTAGTTTCTCAAAGATTCTTGTGAGTGGCGTATATTTATTACTGAATTTCTTTTTATAAATTTACATGAAATTTATCAAATTTATCAAACTTATTTACATAAATTTTTATTAACTGAAAAGAAACAAATTCTCAAATATACAAGTTTCAAGAAATAATTAATCAATCTTTCTTCACTAATCAAATTGTACTTAAACAAAAATATCAATTTAAGAATAATACATGAGGTGCTTTTCTTCGTTCCATGCAAAGTAATGAAACTATTAAGTTAAGTTTTGAAAAGCAAAAATTATTTTAAATCTGTTAAAGTGACAAGAATTGTAGAATAAGAATAATTAAAGAATTTTCAATCAGAACTAACTTTATAAATATTTGATATATTGAAATTTACATTAGAAATTCAAAATAATATTTAAACTCTAAATAAATATGTTTAAAGACAAGTTCATTAACTTTTAATGTACTGTTTAAATTTTTCCAGTGACAAGTATTTAAATAAGGAACACACTTTTACTTAAAAATGGTTAGATTAACATCACTGAGCATCAAAAATGAAATGTCGCGTGGTGGTAAGATAACAAAAATACGAGTTAGAAAATTTTTAATTAAAGAAAGATTGTTAAATAATTTTGTAAATATTTTAGTGCTTTTCGTTGTAATAACAATGCTGTTGATTGGAATTGAAAATGTTGACGCCGACGATGGTTCTCCAGCCTTCTTTTTGAAAATTGCTAAAAATGTACCTCGCATTGGACGTAGCTCGGGTGCTGACAATTTCTTTTTTAAATCTTCTAAAAATATACCAAGAATAGGAAAACGTGAAGAAACTGTAAGTAGATAAAAATTTAAAGAGATTTAAAAATTTTATTGAAAACACTAAATAGAAAATTAATTTGATTTAAATAACCGATTGTCTACTACACTGAAAAAATTTTCTGTACACGGAGAAAAAGGAATAGTTGACATATCCAGATACATGGATATCACAGCCATATTATATTGAAAAATACGGGATATCCATAGTTAAGGTTGCTTCATCCATATTCTATGGCTGGCTGTATATTGTTGGAGCAGCAAAAGATTTATGGTTGGGTGATCCATAGTAATGGAAATGGGAAACAAAAAATTGGAATCACTCAATTAATTAAATTCAATGTCACTTGAGATATTTTATACACATTTTTGTTAATTAATACACACCACTTATTGAATAACCGCATATTAACGAAATAAATTATTAACCGATGGGGGAGACACGAACCCTAGACCTAACGCATACTAAACACTAACGCTATCCACTACACTATACACACAACTACAATATTTGAGCATATAATATTCCTTATATACTCTACACATATTTTATGAAAATGAATTTACATAAACACTAATAGACAATAACGATAATAAATAATGAACAATTATAACACTATTTATACACAATAAACTCACAACGTGATTATATAGACGTGACAGGAAACCGACGCGACGGACAAATTGAGACGACCATTTTTAAATGGATGCCATGATAATGAATTGCGCGCAACATGTATCGAAATTTTGAACTAACTATGGATCTCCCAACCAAAGTTTACATGGATGAGGCAGCCATATGTGAAAATCCATAGCATGAATTGTTAGCCCAACCATGCCTATGGATGTCACATCCATATTTGATTCAACAATATAATATGGCTCCCTCATCCATTGAATATGGAATGTGCTTCCATTCTGAAAGTTGTCTCTTCCATTGAATTGGATAACACAACAATATTTTGCTCAGCAATATTTTTATGGATATCTCTTCCAGACCTTTTCTTTCCGTGTAGATTTAAAATTTTGTTATGGAATTTTATTGAAACTTGTAAAATTAAACCGATTAATTGTTTACTGCACTGTAACAAATTTTCTATATATAGATTTACAATTTTGTTATGGAATTTTATAGAAACTTGTAAAATTACGTTTTAAAAATTACCGAATTTAAATGTCTTTTTGTAAAATTGGTACCTATAATGTCGCAATTTCACAAAGTTTTTTGTACATTTACCACCTTCAAAGTAAATAGGTAATAATTGTGTCTATTTATTACCTACTTTTTACAGTGTATCGAATAAACTTTTACTTGAATCATTTAAAAATGAATTTAGGATAGCATAGTCTGACTAAAATTATCTTTCACTACTTAAACTCAATTCTTTTGGTAATTAACGATAAAGATAGAAATTTTATTTTACTTATTTTATAAGGTAATTATTTTTTAAATACAAATTGTAGCAGTCGATTCTGGAAAGCGGTTACACATTATCTCCGTACAACAAAGATAATCAATATTTGAAAGCAACAAAACGGAGAATCGGTTACCCTGCTGACACAGGTACAAAATATTTTTGTTGCATAATTATACTATCTTATAATTGAACACTGTAATTCTCAAATTTTAAATCATTCTTGTAAAACAAACAATAATTTTAGGTAGTGAAACATGGACTTGGGAACACTTTCCTCTTGCAATAGAAGGCCCACCTGAATTATGGAGGACTCTTGCACGATATAGTGATGAAAAGGCTTTTGAGGCTTCTGACGAGTGAGTATATGATTATTTTAAATTTAAATTCAATAATATCAAATTAAATTCAAGTTATTAAAATCGAGAAATAAAAAATTCTCATTTTGTAAAAAATTATTCGCTCACTATTAACTTAGAATTACTACTCTTAATATGTCACTTGCACAAAGTTTTTTGTAAATTTTCCGCCTTCAAAGTATACGAATCGATACCAAAAGTATGAATAAAATAAAAAATTGTTACAAATTTTTTGTATCAATTTGATCCACTTTGGTGTCGGTTTGATAGATTCATGAAAACTGTGAGCTACCCGTGCAGAAATTGAACTACTTGACGCCTAAACCTGATCAGGGCTAGACGTGGCAACTCTGGTCAGGCCCACATCAAGAAAATCTTAGGGCTTAGATCAGGGTCACGTAGGATTTAAATTTTGAATTTATATCTTTCGAAGATAAAAATGCATGAAATAAATATTTCTTATAATTTATCTTACATAGATCGACAACGACCATTTTTAAAGAAAAAACCTTATTCTTATTGATTTTTAATTATTATTAAATAGGTATTTCAATTATTTGTTTTGTAATAATAAATTAATATACTTAAATCTATACACATAGTAATAAAACAATAATAACAACAACAATAATAATAATATAAACTAATAATAATAACAATAAATAAACAGTTTAAATTAGGGGAGACTGGGGCTAAATGTTAAATTTTGCAAAAATATTTTTTTCTAGGCAATAAATCCGCTTATATGCAAATATGTATAGATCAATAATGTAGAGTAACTTGTCCTCAACAACTTTTAATAAAAAAGTTTCTAATATTTTCGCGTAAAATACATGTTTTGTCCTTTCTAGCCTACTAAAACTACTTTCTGATAGGTGTTAAGTAGTAGGTAAGTTAAAGTATACCTAAAACAAGTAATTTATAATTTGTAAACATTAATTTATAAACATATGTGTCCTAGAACAGTTATAGAGTTAATAAATTAAAATTTCAAAATAAAAAAAAATTTTTTGGATTTATTTCACATGAGGGGTTTTCTATTTTTACCAAGTAGTTGCCTCATGTCAAATAAATAATTTTTAAACATAAAAACCTGAAAATCACGAAAAATTAAAAAAAAACATGGGAAAAATGCACTTAACATTTAGCCCCACCCATTATTTAACATTTAGCCCCAAGGTGCCTTTTTAGCTTTAACAATAAATATACAAAATCTGACTAAAAATATTTAGCAAATTCTTTAACGTACTTCTTGAGGGGACCAAAATAAGGATCCAAATAAATTGTGATAAGAATAAATTCAAAAAATATACTTAAAAGTTGAAATTTTCTTTTACGTAAAAATTTACAAATCTTCGGTCAAAACACAAATGTGTTATGGACACCACAAAAATAAACAGAATGTCACTCAACTACGGGCATTTATTTAGAAAAGGTAAGACCCTTCTATAGTCAAAATTGCAATGCTCTAACTATTTCCGTTCGAAAGATAATGAATTTTAACTGTTTTGGGAGTTTAACATTTAGCCCCAGTCTCCCCTATTTATAAAAAAATTTTGTAAAAATATGCAGAATATTTTATTAAAATTGGACTATCTTTACTATCAAAATAAAATAAAATTTTTAAAAGTATTAATTAATTTAATTACATAAATTATTGTAAATACCCTTGCAGAAAAAAGTATAACCAACCTGATCAGTGCGGTCCAGATGTGGCCCTGATAATGCCCTGATGTGGTTTTTTTTTAATATTTATGTCTAAAATTATTTATCATTTTAATAATGGAAAAAAATTTAATTTTAAAATAATAATAGCAAATTGTTTGTTTTTGTTTTTAAATATTATTTTAAATAATACAAAATTATTGTTTAAACTCATATTTAAAAACAAAAATTTTTTGTTATTTTTTTTATTTTTAAATTTAATTTAAATTTATTTTTTGTTATTAAAATGTATAAATATGTTTTTAATGCGTGAGCAATAAGTATTAAAAAGATCCACATCAGGGCCACAACTGGGCCCCACTAATCAGATTGGCTATACTTTTTTCTGCAAGGGTATTTACATTAATTTATGTAATTAAATTAATTAATACTTTTAAAAATTTTATTTTATTTTGATGGTCAAAATAGTCCAATTTTAATAAGATATTAAAACAAAATACTTTTATATACTATATTATTTCAAAACAATACAATAATTATAATCCTTGTGTCAACTTGGAGTTGCCTCTTATACAAATTTTATTAAATATAATTTTAAATATAATTTTATAATTAGACCTTGTTTTAAACGTGTTACATGTGTATTTAAAAAACCGATTAAACTTACTTTGATTTCCTTCTTTGTCTTTGTAATTGTAAACCTTATGCGTTTCTTCTTCCGCTAATAATATTCTTAGTAGTGATCTTTCTGTTTCCTAAATCACTCCTCTTAATGAACTCTACTTCACGTTTAATAATTCCATTAATAATTCCACACTTTTATTAATTAACTTTTAAGCTTAAGAACTTTTATTCAGGAAAGTCAAAGACCAACTCCTCGATTTCCACTTTTCGATCTATTTCGTGCCCCGAAAATCGAAAGTGGGGAAATCGTTTTCTTTAAAACACCTGGTCGTCGACCCGTGCTTTTTTTGCATAGTTTGCATTTTAACCGCGGTGTGATCTTAGTTCATTTAATTTGGATTCACCACTGATAAATTCTTTCATGAATATTGTGAAATTCGATTGCCACAAAAGTTAATGACACCAAGTGTGGAATTGCGAAGTTGAGTGACCATTGAGAAGTAGGCTCAATTCTTATTGTTTAACCCTTTGAGGACCAAATTTTTTCTTAAAAAATCGCGATTTTTCATTTTTAAGCAAACTTTTCAGGGAAAGTTATTGAAGTTTTTTACTTAAAGACCAGTGTTTGTGATACGAAATTTTCCAGACTATGTGAAAATTATTGTTTCAATATTCAGTTTTGAAAATTAAGAAATTTATGCCCGAGTTAATAAAAAAATGTTCATGTTGCCTAAAAGCAACACTGGTCCTCAAAGGGTTTTTGATTTTTACTTTTATACTCCTAGCAATCAAAGTTAGGCTAGAATTGGTTTTTGAGTTTTAATTATAAAAAATCTTATGTTAAAATAATTTTGTATTTATGTAGTTTTTTTTGTTTTTATCCCGTAGGGATAAAATGTGACGAAGTCCGTTCGTCACAATAATAATTTATTAATAATTATAGTAATAGTAATAAATTAATCAAAAACTTGGTTTGTTAAAATTAGTAAAAAAAGTATAATAAACTCAAAAAGTATTTTTTTTAAAATAAATGCAAGAAGAATAAATACAGAATAATTATTATTTGTAATATTTTAACAAATAAATTAATTATTAATCAATTATTACTTATTAATTAATAATTCATTTTTATTATTATTTATAATAGGTTTTAATAGTTTTTCTATTAATAGTAGGTTTAATTTTTGTAGTTTTAATTTTCATAGTAGGTTTGTTTAAAATTAATAAATATTTAAACTAATATTTAAAAGAAAACATTTTTCTGTTATTAAAATGCATAAATAATTTGATACTTTTAGAAATGAATATTTAAAAAAAACAAATCAGGGCCCTACTAGGGATCATCCTATCTGGCCCTGATCAGGTTAGGCGTTTCGTCCCAGGTGTGGCACGGATCGGATTGCCTGATCAGGGCCATATTTACCCCTATCAGGGCCTGATCGGCGCCATACCAAAATTTCTGCACGGGTATAGTGATAAAATTATAAAATTACTTTATATCTGAATAGACGCTTTTCGTTTTAATTTTCAGCATTGATAATGAAATTCTACATCGAGATAAAAGAGCAGAAGAGGAAAATCAATTTAAATGAAAAAATTATAATTTCCGATAGATATTTCAACTTCATCATTCGACAATCAATTACTTTTATATAAATGGAATAATAAGTAAAAATTAATTAGTATTTTGTAATGTAAAATCAAAAATATTATATGAAAGAAAAATGTGAATACGGAAAATCATGCAAAATATCAGTGTTAGAAGCGGTGCATCTTTTCTATAAGAGTAATAATGCGAAATTAAAAAGAAATTTATAAACGATCAAATTTAGCAATTACGGATAAGTGTATAATGTACCTGTATTCAAGTTATAGGTGTTGGGATAAAATATTTAAGAATAAAAATATTATAGACAAAAATTTATTTTAACAAATGTATACGTTTATATGTAAATACAATCGATTTTCCTTATTTTAAAAGTTTTTTAAAATATATACATTTTAACATTGTATTATAATTTCAGTTTTTGGAAATCTAATTTAGAATGAAAATGTCAAATGGGTATTTTAATATATAAAGAAAAGGCAAATATTTATTGCTTGTTTATTGTTATAAATATGAGACATAAAAATTAATTGAATTAATTCAAACTTTAATATTTAGTTTACATATTCTCATCACTTATAATAATGATGATTATTATTATTATTTTTATAATATTACTAAAAACGATTTACAAGTTTCGTTTATTGTTAAAATTATTATTTAAAATTATTAAAAATATCTAAATTTTGTATAAAAAGAATTTCAACAGTCGGCAACTCAGTAAGTATCTGTATCGTGACCTGGAAAGTACTACGTCAAATACCATACGTCGATCGCTTTCTAACTTTTCATGTTGCTTACAGATGGAACCACTGTGTAAACTCTACGATGTACTTAAACTCTGCATTATTATTATTTATTTTACATGAATTTTAATTTTGTTCCAAATATCCATAATAATTGAATCAATCTTTGGTAAATGTTAATTTTGTCACCTGTCTATTAAACTTGAAAAATTGTTATGCTAATTCCGTTCATTCATAAGCCTATCACTGATAATGATAATATGATAATAATGATGAGCTATGTAAATATAGGGCAAATTTTTTTAAGTATACCAATATCAAAAATAAAAGTTAAATTGCAGTAATATTTCCACAAACTTTACTATTATTAGTGATTACTTCAATCACCAAATATTATGAAATTTTTTTATATAGAATTTGAATTTTTCCCTTACATATTTGAGGGGGTTAAAGATTCTATCGACTTTGAAGAGTACTCATTTTGAACAGTAGATTATTCAAAAAATCATTATTATATTATACAAAAGTATGAAAAAAAATTTGTCCTTATATATGTTTTTTTCAAAGGTTTTCTCTGCTCTTTCAAATGAAGAAAAAAGTTTTTGAAAAAAGTCTAAATTTGACCCTTTTTTTAAAATTGGACCCTTTTACTTTTTTTGGTCTTAAAGTAATACAGTTTAAGATTTATACTTTTAATAATCAAAATGAAAGAATGATATTTTTCGCTTTCTAGATATTTGATTAATAAAAATTAATACAAAAATTGTATATTTATAAGCAATAAAGTGAGGGTATAGTTTTGAAGTAACCCCATTCGGAAGCTTACTTTTCGCATCTAACAGGTTCAATATAATAGTATATTGTGCAACAAGTACAGAAAGAAGCTGTTTTCCGACGAGTGCAAAGTTTGCTGTCCCGAGCGAAGCGAGGGCAGCAATTTGCACGAAGTCGGAAAATCTTCTTTCGTACGTGTTGCACACAGTACTTTGTGCAACACCTTTTGGTTTTGATAAAAAAAGCTGTTTAAAAAAAGCTAGTTGACGCCAACATACGTACTGTTTAGCAGGGTTTGAAACGTATGTTACCGCACGTAATATACGTGGTTTTCTACGCGTATATTACTGTAAAAAACAGGTATTCTACAAATAAAAAACAAATACCCGTGTAGAAATTTCGCTGGGGCCCTGATAAGGGCCGGATAAGGCCGACCTATTAGGGAATGAAACGCCGCGCCCGATGTGGCCCTGATCAGGAAATCCACATTTTCTTGTCGCCCCGATCTGGCCCTGATCGGGAGCGGCGTTTCATTCCTTACTATGGCCCTAGTAGGGCAATTTCTACACGGGTACCTATGTTTATCACCAAAAAAACCCAAAAGTTTAAGAACTTTGCCGCACTAGTGCAGCAAAATAAGCACTTTGCCGCACTAGTGCAGCAAAGTACTGTTTTGCGCCTACTTTACAGGCATGCAAAGTATTACTTTCCTTACAGGTGTTGCACAAAATATTTTTATTTTACTAATATGTTAACTAATTTTTATTTATCTAATAATAAGTATCTCAGAAACAAGAAAAAAGGTCATTTCTTTATTTCGGTTGTTGAAAGTATATGACGTATATACATCCTAAGCTTATTTTAAAAGAAATAAAAAAAGAAGAAATGGGTTTTTTAAAACAAAAGTCAAAAACATTTTTGATTTGCAAACAAAAGGGTAAAATGAATTTTTTAAAAAGATTTATAAACTATTGAAAAAAGTAGAGAAAACCGAAGAAAAAACCTTTCATAAACGCGTAGAGATAAAAAATTAGTTCCGAAAATATTTTTGAAGTTGGTAACGGAAGGTTATGTTTATATGCGAATCAACAATCATCTGTTGCGCCATTAGTTTGTATTTATCATGATTTGTTGTCAAGTGTGAAAAGTTTATATCTTAATATTGTTTTTATTAATTGTTTGCGAATGGACGAATTGGGCGAACGTAATTCAGAATCGTGCAATTTGGAAGAATTAATTCGCTTTTTTCAGGGTAAGTACTAATAACAGTATAATTTACACATTTATTAACAAGAAAGTATGCATATTCATAACCTCACTTATTTATGTTTAATGCATGAATTAATACTCAACGAGGTAATTTAAAAGTTGATCTTATATTCTTACAAAACATAATTAATAAATATATAAGATCATTGAATGTTTTCATTAAAATATCACGGCAGTCAGCGAAAATAGTTTGCCATAGTTAGATTTCCCCAACTCGTCCATTTAATTTACTTCCCACATAGCACAGTTTTTTCCGGGAAGTTTCCAGGAAGTTTCCCACGTTAAGTTCGGAAATTTGACGTGTTAAGTTCCTGGAAACTTCCAGGAAACTTGATATGTCTTAAGATTTAAAGTTTCCACTGTTAACTTCCAGGAAATTATCAATGGAATTTTCCTGGAAAAAGGACTGGAAATTTCCTGAAAAATTTAAGAAGTTTTTTTGGAAGCTTCTCTAAAATTATTTCTGTTAATTTCACAATTGTTCAGTAAATGTTTTTAGAAAATTTCCCCTAAAATAGAAACGAAAGTTTCTTGTATAATTTATTCGTTAATTTTACATTAATTATTATTTAAAATAATAATAAATATTTAATACTTAAACAAAATGGGGTTTTTTCATAAAAATAAAATTAAAAAAATTATTTAATTTATTCATTTTATACTTTTTTTGTTTCTACTTATTTTTGTTTTTGGAAACCTAATATTAAAGAAGACAAACTTGAAAATAAATTCGGGGGAACGGGGGGGATCGAACGCGGGTTTCGACGGACGCAACGCAACTACCTAACCAACTACGCTAAACTAACATGTGTGTAGAGGAAAAAAAAATCTTTCTCTTGGTACAAGTAATCTTAATGGTTAGTAATTATGAATGGCGGGATAATTTAAAAATTTTATTCTCACAATTCAAATATTTCTTATATATAATTGTTAGAATTTCATAAATTTCATTTTTATGGAGATTAATAATTTTAAATAGTGCTTATTACTGATTATTTTATACATATGAGAATAATCAAACAAGTAATACAAGCAGTTTTAATACGTGAAATTAAGATATATTAAATACAAGTTTTTCTTTACCAGATATAATTCTTTTCATTGAAATAGTCTTCCTATTGAAATTGAAATCAATATTAAATGCATTTATTTTTAATAAATACATTTAATATTATTATTATTTTAATAATAATTAATAATTGTAATAATAGAAATTAAAAAAATAATATATCATAATAATAATTTGTTTTTATTATATTTTGAGATAAATAAATATTTACTGGACATAAATATTGTAATTTTAATTAATTACTATTATTAATTATTAACTATAATTATCTTCGCACTTCATTCTTTCATTCATGCCACAGTTTGACGTTATAGTTGCTGTGTATGCTTTTGCTTTTTTTCCTTCGGAAAATATTGGAAAATATTGTTTGAAAAATCTAAAATATGCAGGTATTTTTTAAGATTTATAATAAAATAATATTTGAAATTAGAAAATTTAAACAAAAAGTTATGATTAACAAATAAATTTTGTTTTTATATGCTTTTCTACAATAAATTTCGCTTGACTGATCTTTAAGTAATTCTCATTCTGTAGAAAATGACCTTTAAAATAAGCTCAAGAGCATTAAAAAGTGTTCATAATATTAGAAATTATTCAAATTTATAAAAAACGTTGAAAATGACGATTTTTTAAGAATATTTTGAAAAAATACTGTCCAAATGACTTCTGTAAGGTCTTATTCTTTTCACAATTTTATCATCTTTCAAAAAATAAAAAGAAAAAAATTTAATTTGCATAAAATTTTGTTTTAAAAGTTTTTTCATTCACTTGAAAATGAGTGGTCTTTCAATTTTGACCGGTAGTGTATTTCTAATAATAATAATTAAACAAAATACATACAATTTTAATTAAATTCGTTAAAAAAATTTCACATTCTACAAAAAAGTGAAAAATTCGTCAATTTAGATGAATTTTTTTTAAACAATATTATCACAAAACAAATTTGAGTTTGTGAAAATTTGAACTAATTAAAACAAAAGTGATACAAATTTTCTAAAAATTAATTTTTAAATAATATATGAAGTTAATAAAAGATAAAAATAAATAAGATTACTTTTTCTTATACAAGCTTGTATTAATATTAATTAGTTTTCAACTACAATAATTTATAAATAACTATTTCAATATTTTCGAATGTTAAATTATTATTATTTAGTATATTAATATTGATTGAATTTCAAAAACTTTCAAATTAATGTTTCAGAAAAGTTGAAAATTGTAAAAAAATGAAATTTATTATTTTCTAGAATTTTTAACTAAAATTCTTCTCTAAATCAACTATATTTAATAATTTTTGAAAAAGTTCTTTGAGAATTTGGAAAAATTCCCATGTTTGGAAAAATTGCCATATGTAACTTCCATGTAACTTCAAATTATTTTTTAAAAAAATTAAATTAAATTTTTTCAAAAAAATTAATTCTTTAACTTGTCAGTTAAAAG